TTCCCTAGGTAATCTTCTGGCAAGCATTGATGCCAGTTTCAGATACTTCCTTCCCAGCTCAGTAAATTAAATAATTGAACTAAAAAACATCACCAGCATTCCAAACATCTCAAACTCAAAAGGCCAGGACAGAATTCTATCCCATCTCGTGAGTAAGACTAAGGCAGTTCTCTAAGCTTATCTGTCACAGTTCTTCACTTAGGAGATGGCATAAGTATGTAAATGAAAGCCTACTGCATATTTACTTGTCTGTATAAAATTAAGACAGATTTGGAAAATTGGAAACAAGAGAGTACCCCTGTGACTACTTCAGTAACAAAGTTACTAAAAATGCCACTATTATTTGCTGCTTTGCTGGAGTCACTATTCTCCTAATACCATACAAAATAAATCACCATATAAAGGAACCACAGTATACTACTTTTATTTCAAAATCCAAATTTGTTAACATAGCACTCAAGGACCTTCACAATCTGGTGCAAACTTACTTATTTAACACTTCTTTCTTTACAAACTCTTGCTTTTCAGCTTCTGTAACAGCAAATGGCTCGTCATTTCCACCAAAAAATAAGGCTTGTTTAAGCATCTGAGCATCAGAAAAATGCTCTTCTCTCCATCTGACATATCTCCCTTCCCCATTTCTCAACTAGTACACTTATTTTCATACTTTAATACCCAGCTGAAATGTCACCACCCTTCTCTGATCAGCCACCCCAACACACGACATTTAGTTCTGTTTTAGTTACATAGCACACAATGAAAACCTCCATTGAAGAACTTATCACAACATATTATTGCTATTTCTTTTGTTTCAATCACCCTCAACTAGATTATGAACTAATAGAGAAAATGGACTTATTTTTATAATTTATTTAAGTAACATATTAAATATAGGTAAAAGCAATTTGCAAGAACCATACTTCAATATCAAAATTGTTTTTATTTTTATTTCTAAAAACAAGTAATATATCACAGCATATTATAGATATTTCTTTGTGTCTATCACTTTCTATCTAATGTAGCAACTATCAGGATAGAGGAAACAAAATATTTGAAAATATAATTGTCAAAATTTTTGAAAATTTGATGGAAAGTATACACCTTCAATTTTAAGCTTTTAAATAAAAGCAGTACAAACACAAATGAAACTATACTAAGGAGCATCATAATTTGATTACTCAAACTAGTAATATACATAGAAAATTGAAAAAGCAGCCAGTGGGGGGGAAAAATATGTTACATACAACAGGGAAACAAACGTAAGAATAACCTAAGATGCCAACAGTCATGCACTTTAAAAGACAATGCAATGACATCTTTAAAGTGCTGAAAGAAAAAAAATTCTAAAACTACAATTTTACATGTGAAAAAATCTCCAAAAATGTCAAAGGAAATATTTTAAGAAAAATCAAACTTTCCATTTTCTTTTGCATCAGACTTCCATTAAAGAAATGTTAAAAGTAATTATTCTGGCTGAAGAAAAATAAACCCATCTAGAAATTTCAGTATACACAAAGAAATCTAAGAGTGCCAAAATGGTAAGTATGTGGTAAATATAACAGACATTTTTGTCATTTTAAGATGCTTTTTAAAAATATAAGTGATTGTTTTTTAAACAATAATAACAGCATTTTGAGGCTTATAACATAAGAAAAAGTGTGTGCTAACAATAGAACAAAAGATTGGAGGAGGGAAATGGAAGTATATAGTTTACATGAATGTAGATTATAATAAAGTAAATAATGTATACACTAAATGAAATAAAATAGATATTTTGTTAAAAATCCAGAAGTATTGCTAAAGACAAAAATTGTAAATTATTCAAACTAACTCAAATAGAGCATAAAATAGTAAAGAGAAGAAGGGAAAGTATATGTCAAAAATAAAATAAATAACGGTAAACCTAGCCTGAACCATAATAATAATAATATTATATATAAATTATTTAAATTTTTCAGTAAAAAGCAAACATATTTAACTGAATAAAAAAACATGACTAAATCACATATTGTTCACAATAAATTCACTTAAAATATAAAGATTCAGATTAAAAAGAAAAAGATTTCAAAAATTAGAAAAAAATGCAAATACTAATCAAAAGGAAACTGAAATAACTATATTAATATCAGGAAAATACACTTCAGTAAAAGAAATATTACAGAATTTAAAATAAATATTTCAAAATGTCAAATGTGCCAATTAATTAAGACAAAGTAATCGTAAATGTATATGTTCAAAATAACGGGGCTTCAAAACATATAAAGCAAGCTGAAAAACCATAAAGAGATAAATCCACCATTATAGTTGCAGATTTCAACACTTCACTTTAAAAAATTAATAGACACAAATTATAATAATAAGAGTATATAAGCCTTAAACAACACAATCAACCATGTTGACATATTTGACATTGTAGAATACTCAATCCAACAAAGCAAGCCTAAATAAATTTAAAAGTATTAAAATCATACGAAGTACTCTGACTACAATGTAATTGAATTAGAAATGAATGATAACAATCTGAAAATGCCATAGTATTTGGAAATTAAAAGAAGCTCTCCTGAATAACCATGGGCCAAATGAGAAGTTAAAAGGGGGAATTATAAAATATTTGGCATTCATAAAAAATAATGAGATCTTCTCCTTTGCAGGAACATGAATTGGACTAGAGGTGTCTTTGTGGTAGAATGCTTTATATTCCTCTAGGTATACACCCTGTAATGGGATTGCTGGGTCAAATGGTAGTTCTGCTTTTAGCTCTTTGAGAAATTGTCATACCGCTTTCCACAATGGTTTAACTAATTTACACGCCACCAACAGTGTATAAGAGTTCCCTTTTCTCCACAACCTTGCCAGCATCTGCTATTTTTTGACATTTCAATAACCATGCTGACTGGTATATGATATCTCATTATGGTTTTGATTTGCATTTTTCTAAAGATCGATTGAGTTTTTTTCATATCCTTGTTAGCCACATGTATGTCTTTTTTGGAAAGTGTCCCTGTTGATGTTCTTTGCCCATGTTTTGTTTTGTTTTGTTTTGTTTTTGAGACGGAGTTTCGCTCTTGTTACCCAGGCTGTAATGCAATGGCGCGATCTCGGCTCACCGCAACCTCCGCCTCCTGGGTTCAGGCAATTCTCCCGCCTCAGCCTCCCAAGTAGCTGGGATTACAGGCATGCAGCACCATGCCATGCTAATATTTTGTATTTATTAGTAGAGACGGGGTTTCACCATATTGACCAGGATGGTCTCGATCTCTTGACCTCATGATCCACCCGCCTCGGCCTCCCAAAGTGCTGGGATTACAGGGGTGAGCCACTGCACCCAGCCCTCTTTGCCCATTTTTTTAATAGGCTTGTTTTTCCCTTGTAAATTTGCTTAAGTTCCTTACAGATGCTAGATATTAGACCTTTCTCAGATACATAGTTTGCAAATACTTTCTCTCATACTTTAACTTGTTTTCTCTGTTAATAGTTTCTTTTGCTGTACAGAAGCCCTTAAGTTTAATTAGCTCCCATTTATCAATATTTGCTTTTGTTGCAATTGCTTTTGGTGTCCTTGTCATGAAATCTCTGCCTGTTCCTATGTCCAGGATGGTACTGCCTAGGTTGTCTTCCAGGGTTTTTATAGTTTTGGGTTTTACATTTAAGTCTTTAATTCATTTTGAGTGGATTTTTTTATATGGTGCAAGGAAGAGGTCCAGCTTCAATCTTCTGCATATGCCTAGCCAGTTCTCCCAGCACCATTTATTGAATAGGGAGTCTTTCCTCCATTGCCTGTTTTTGTCAGATTTGTCAAAGATCAGATGGTTATAGGTGTGTAACCTTATTTCTGGACTCTCTATTCTGTTCTATTGGTCTATGTCCCTGTTTTTATACCTGTACTATGCTGTTTTGGTCACCGTAGCCTTGTAGTATAGTTTGAAGACAGGTAAAGTGATTCCTCCCGATTTGTTCTTTTTGCTTAGGATTCCCTTGGCTATTCTGGCTCTTTTTTTGGTTTCACATAAATTTTAAAATAAATTTTTATAGTTCTATGAAGAATGTCTTTGGTAGGAATAGCATTGACTCTGTCAATTGCTTTGGGCAGTATGGCTAATTTAATGATATTAATTCTTCTTACATAAGAGCATGGGATGTTTTTTCCATTTGTGTATTCTCTGATTTCTTTGAGCAGTGTTTTGTAATTACCTTTGTAGACATCTTTCACCTTCCTGGTTAGCTGTATTCCTAGATATTTGATTCACATAAGCTTAAGGTAAAGAGGTAGAAAAAGATAATCCATGCAAATGAACATCAAAAGCAAGCAGGAGTAGCTATTCTTATATTAGACAAAATGAACTTTAAAAGCACAACAGTTAACAAAGATAAAGAGAGACATTATGTAATGATAGAAATACTTGTCCAACTGGAAAATATCAAAATCCTAAATATATATGCATCTAACACTGGACCTCCCAAGTTTATAAAACTACTAGTCCTAAGAAATGAGGTAGATCACAACAGAGTAATAGTGGGACCTTAATACTCCGCAGATAGCACTAGACAGGTAATCAAGGCAGAAAGTCAAGAAAGAAACAATGGATTTAAACTATAACACAGAACAAATGGATTTAACAGATACTTATAGAATATTGTACCCAAAAACTGTAGAATATACATCCTGCTCTTCAGCACATAGAACATTTTCCAAGAGAGATTATTTGATAGACTACAAAATAAATCTCAGCAAATTTAAGATCACTGAAATTATAGCAAGTACTCTCTCAGATTACAGAGGAATAAAATTGGAAATCAACTCCAAAAGAAACCCTCAAAACCAGGCAAACACATGGAAATTAAACAACCTGTTCCTGAATAGTCATTCAGTCAACAATAAAATCAAGATGGAAATTTAAAAATTATTTCAGCTGAACAATAATAATGACACAACATATGAAGACCTCTGGGATACAGCAAAGGCAATACTAAAAGGAAAGTTCATAACATTAAATGCCTACATAAAAAAGTCTAGAAAAGCACAAATAGACAATCTAAGGTCACACCTCAAGGAACTAGAGAAACAAGAACAAACCAAACCCAAACCCAGCACAAGAAAAGAAATAACGAAGAGCAGAACAGAACTAAATACCATTGGTATGCTACATCTAGATCTATCTCACATGCAAGGATACACAAAGACTCAAAACAAAGGGATGGTGAAAAATTTACCAACCAAATGGAGAGCTAAAATAAATAAATAGAAAGCAGGAGTTGCAATTTTTGCTGATAAAATAGATTTCAAAGCAACAAAGATCAAAAGAAGCAAAGAAAGATATTACATAAAGATAAAAGGATCAATGTAACAAGAAGAGCTAAAGATCCTAAACATATATGCACCCAATACAGAAATACCCAGATATATAAGACTTACAAAGAGACTTGGACCCCCACACAATAATAGCGGGAGACTTCAACATCAATATTAGATAGATCAATGAGACAGAATGTTACCAGGACTTGAACTCAGATCCGGAACAAGTAGACTTAATTAACATTTATAGAACTCTCCACTTTAAATACACAAAATATACACTCTTATCAGTACTACATCACACGTATTTACAGGTTTAAATGAAATATTGGTTGGCTGCTTGTTAATTATTTTCTTCCCTCATTTTTTTTTATGTCTTTATTATTAAACACAATTACAGGCATACCCAGTTTTAGACTGCATTCTAGCCTGGGCAATAAAGCAACACCCCTGTTCTCTCTCCCTCTTCCTCTTCTTCTTTCTTCCTTTCCTTTATTCTTTTTCTTTTTTTTTTATTCTTTTTCTTCCTTTCTCTCATTCTTAAAAAAAAAAAAAAAAGAACAGAACTAAATAAAATTGAAAGAAAAAAGAAATTAAAAGATAAATGAAAGAAAAACCTAGTTCTTTGAAAAGATAAATAAAATTGGTAGACCATTAGTAAGATTAACCAAGAAAACAAGAGAGAAGATCCAAACAAGCTCAATTAGAAAAGAAACAGGAGATACTACAACAGATATCGCAGAAATACAAAGGATTGTTCAAGGCTACTATGAACACCTTTATGCACATAAACTAGAAAACCTAGAGGGGATGGATTAATTCCTGGAAATATACAATCAATCCTCCTAGATTAAAACAGGAATAAATAGAAACTCAAAATAGACTAATAACAAGCAGCGAGATTAAAATGGGTATTTTAAAAGTTACCAACAAAAAAACAGTCCAGGACCAGATGAATTCACAGCTGAATTCTATCAGACATTCAAAGAAATAATACCAATCCTACACTATTCCAAAAGATAGGAAAGGTGGAATCTTCCCTAAACCACTCTATGAAGCCAATATCACTCTAATACCAAAAGCAGAAAAGGACATATCAAAAAAAGAAAACTACGGACAAATGTCCCTGATGAATATGGACGCATAAATCCTTAACAAAATACTAGCTAACTGAATCCAACAGCATATCCAAATAATAATATTTAATGGGTTTCACACCAGGGATGCAAGGATGATTTAACATATGCAAGTCAATAAATTTAATACACCACATAAACAGAATTTAAAACAAAAACCACATGAACATCTCAATGGACACAGAAAAAGCACTTGGCAAGATCTAGTATTCATTTATGATTAAAACCCTTAGCAAAATCAGCATATAAGGGATCTACCTCTAGGTAATAAAAGCCATTTATGACAAACCCAGAACCAACATTATACTTAACAGAGAAAAGTTGAAGGAATTCCCCAAGAACTGGAACAAGGCAAGAATGCCCACTCTTACCACTTCTATTCAACATAGTACTGGAAGTCCTAGCCAGAGCAATCAGACGATAGATAGATAGATAGATAGATAGATAGATAGATAGATAAATGGCAACCAAATTGGCAAAGAAAAAGTCAAAGTTTTGCTTCTTGCTGATAATACGATCATAAACCTAGAAAATCCTGAAGAGTCTGCCAAAAAGCTTCTAGATCCGATACGTGAATTCAGCAAAGTTTCAGGATACAAAATTAATGTACACAAATCAGTAGCTCTGCTATACATGTAGGGACCAAGATGAGAATCAAATTAAGAACTCAACCCCTTTTACAATAGCTGCAAAAAAAGTAAAAAATAAAATAAAATAAAATACTTAGGAATATATGTAACCAATGAGTTGAAAGACCTCTACAAGGAAAACTACAAAACACAGCTGAAAGAAACCACAGATGACACAAACAAATGAAAACACATCCCATGCTCATGGATGGGCAGACTCAATATTGTGAAAATGATTATACTATCAAAACCAATCTACAAATTCAACGCAATTCCCATCAAAATACCGCCATCATTCTTCACAGAGTTAGAAAAACAACCCTAAAATTCATATGGAACCAAAAAAGAGCTCATGTAACAAAAGTAGGACAAAGCTACAAGAACAAATCTGGAGACATCACATTACCTGGCTTCTTACTATACTACAAGGCTATGGTTACTAAAACAGCATGGTACTGATATAAAAATAGGCATATAGACCAATGGAATACTGGTATAAAAATAGCATGTAGAAAACCCAGAAATAAAGCCAAATATTTACAGTCAACTGACTTTCGACAAAGCAAACAAAAATACAAGTGGGGAAAGGACATCTTATTCAACAAATGGTGCTGGAATTATTGACAAGCCACATGTAAAGGAATGAAACTGGGGCCTCATCTCTCACCTATACAAATATCAACTCAAGATAAATCAAGGACTTAGTTATAAGACCCAAACCACAAAAATTCTAGAAGATAACATCAGAAAAACCCTTCTAGGCATTGACTTAGGCAAACACTTCGTGACCAAGAATCCAAAAGCAAATGACAACAAAACAAAGATAAGTAGATGAGACTTAATTAAACTAAAAAGCTTCTGCACAGCAAAATAAACAATCAGCAGAGTAAACATACAAACCACAGAGCAGAAGATCTTCGCAATCTATATATCTGGCAAAGGACTAATATCCAGAGTCTACAAGGAACTCAAATTAATCAGCAAGAAACACACACACACACACACACACACACACACACACACACACAGTCCCATTAAAAGCTGGAAACCATCATTCTCAGCAAACTGACACAAGAACAGAAAAAGAAACACCACATGTTCTCACTCATAAGTGGGTGATGAACAATAAGAACACATGAACACAGGGAGGGGAAAATCACACACTGGAGCCTGTTGGGGGTTTGGGGAGCTAGGGGAGGAATAGCAGGGGATCAGGGGATTGGGGAGAGGTAACATTAGGAGAAATACCTAATGTAGATGACAGGGGGAATGGATGCAGCAAACCGCTATGGCATGTGTACACCTATGTAACAATCCTGCATGATTTGCACATGTATCCCAGAACTTAAAGTATAATTTAAAAAATAATAAATAAATAAAGAAAGAAAGAAGTGGGCCAAAAACATGAACAGACAATTCGCAAAAGAAGATATTCAAATGGCCAACAAACTTATGACAAAAATGCTCAACATCATTAATGATTAGGAAAGTACAAATCAAAACCATGATGTGATACCACCTCACTCCTGCAAGATTGGCCGTAATAAAAAAATCCAAAAATAATAGATGTTCGTGTGGATGTGGTAAAAAGGGAACACTTTTACACTGCTGGTAGGAATGTAAACTAGTACAACCACTGTGGAAAACAGTGTGGAGATTCCTTAAAGAAGTAAAAGCAGAATTACCATTTGATCCAGCAATCCCACTCCTGGGTGAAGAAGTCAATAGAAAGATGATCTCATAACTATAAAATTACACAGAAATTAAACAGCCTGCTCCTGAATCAATTTTGGGTAAACAAAGAAATTAAAGAGAAAACAAGGAATTCTTTGAAACTAATGAAAACCAAGATACAACATACTAAGATCTCTGGGAAACAGCTAAAGTAGTGTTAAGACAGAAGTGTATAGGGCGAAATGGCCACATTAAAAAGTTAGAAAAATGTCAATTGACAAACTGACATCACACCTAGAAGAATGAGGAAAATACAAGAGTAAACCAAACCCAAATCTAGCAGAAGAAAAGAAATAGCCAAAATCAGAGCTGCATAGAAAGAAATTGAGATGTAAAAAGACATATAAAAGATCAATGAGCTCGATGCAATGACTCACACTTGCAATCCTAGCACTTTGGAAGGATGAGGCAGGTGGATTATTTGAGCCCAGGAGTTCAAGACCAGCCTAGGTAACCTGGTGAAACTCTGACTCTACAAAGAATACAAAAAATTAGTCAGTTGTGGTGGCATGCAACTGTAGTCCCACCTACTACAGTGGCTGAGGTAGGAGGACATCTTAAGCCCAGGAGAGAGAGGTTGTGGTGAGCTGAGATCATACCATTGAACTTCAGCCTGGATGGCGAAGTAAGACCCTGTCTCAAAAAATAAATAAATAAATAAAAATAAACATGATCAGAAATGACAAGGGGCATTACTGTTAGTCCAAACTGCACCATTAGTTAAGCTCCCTGCTTTTTTGCAGACCTTGTTAAAAGTGAAACATTTCATTGGGGTTTGAGCCATGAAAAATAGCATGCCTAACCACCTGACCACAAGGCAGGCAAAAGCCCAACTAAAGAAACATCCCCATCATATTCTGCTGGGAGAAAGTGCAAGGAACACCACATTCTACCAGAACAAGGGCCAGAAGAGCCTCATCATGGGAACATCTTATCAATATCCTGACAGGCAGCAAGCCAGATGGCCCAGACCCCTCCTACCCATACCTACACATACCCCAGCCTGTAAACAGTGGTGGCTCTGGCCTTAAGCTGGTCCTCCACTTCTGCAGGTTTCTGCAATATATCTGTGTTGCTGTTTGAGCCACCCTCTGTCTCTGTATTTATCTTTAACTCTTGCCTTCCCTTCAAAACCTAAAAATTACCACCAACCAAGAGAAGTTAAAATACAAAAAACCCAACGACTATTATGAACAACTCAATGCACACAAACTAAAAAACCTAA